ATAATATCATATTTAGTATACATATCTTGACTGTGGCAGAGCCTAACTTGTCAAGAATAATGGTAATATGTCTAACTTGTCAAAAATAATAGTAATATGTATATATATCCTTGACTGTGGCAGAGCCTAACTTGTCAAGAATAATGGTAATATGTACATATATATATTATTATTATTATATTCCTACCTTTCTTGACCGGGTAGAGCGCTCGTGCTGATAACGTGTTATAAAATGCGATGAATATAAAGAACACAATGTCAAAAACGGATACAAATCAAACTTTTCTTTCTTTCTACTTCTTTTTCCGTACCCACATTACATTGATTTGGCCCCTTTTATAGGTGAGTGGCACACCTTTCAATACATAATGATAATAATAATAATATGAATGATAAGGTGTAGTGGTTAATTCCACTTTTACACAACAATTATATCTCTTCTTTCAATTATTTGCTCCAAAAAATGAACGCATTTGGGTGCACGCAAAGTTTATGGAGTCATCGAATAGTTTCTTTATAGAGTAATCCATAACTTTATCTATTGACACATATTTAATATATATTTATTGCGGGACATGTGTCAATACATCATTTGCTAATGACAATAGATGACTCCATAAGCCGAGTCATCTGATGGCTCCATAGCAAGACCGGTTGAGTGCAATAGTAATCTTAGCAGGTTTTTATGGTTAACTACTTATATATTTTTAGGGAAATATTACGGTTTCGTTACAAAACTATTTTATCGGGGTTTGTAATCGTTAGATTATCATGTAACAGTCAGAGATAGTTTTTTTTTTTTGGTAGAACCGTCGAAGATATTGGTTCTAACGGTTGCAAACCCTGACGGAGTGGTTCTAACGGTTACAAACCCTGACGGGTGTTACGTAACGGAACCGTAGCATATCCGACATTTTTAATATATGCACATTTTCGTATTAATTCATTTCATATTATTTTATTATTTAAATAAACTATATCCCGTAAAACTAGAATTCATATAAGACCAGAAAATTCAATTTATGATTGTAATTAATAAGCTGAATATTGTTGTATGTGCTACATAATGCTGTACCATCGAAAAAATCCATTTTAATTTGAAGATATAAAATCTTGGGCTAGCAAGATTTGACCAAATTTTAGGCTATTAGGTCATTTTTATCCGTGACCCAATCAGTGAATTACGGGATATAGAGACGAAAAAAAGTCATCGATTCAGCGACTACCCGTCTTTGATGAGATATTTGTTTCATTTTTATTGCACAAGTATATATATCTTTTTGGTTTAAAAGTAAAATAGAAAAATACTAGAATTCATATTTTTTCATTCTACAAATAAATACCACGTTTTGAAACACATTATAATTTTAAATAAATTAAAATAAAATAAATATTTAGATTGAGTTGAGTTGAGAATATAGATAAATTGGATTGTAAGGTTGAATTATGTAGGCTGAGCAGAGAAAAATATATATTAGTGTATTTTTATGTGCTTAATTTTATCGCACTTATATATTTTTTTGACTTATTTATTTATTACATTATTTTAGTGCTTTGATGTTTTTTATATTTTATTTTTATGATATTAGAGTATTTTTATGAACTGGGTGTTCCATGGCAGTCCATTTTCGGTCCAATATAGGCCTGAGCCCAAATTTATGGAATTAATTGTGGGGAAATTTTTATGTATGCTACATGATTTGGAAGTAATTGCAATAATACAATTCATACCAATTTAATTGTGTATATACCTAATAGATAAAATATAATTACATTCATACCTA